CCCTATACTATTCATCCGGACTAGCTCCCTACTTTTCAGCCAGTCAAAATAGTTGAAAGATCCCATGCCCCCAAGCAACTCGGTGGAGGGAAGGCGTACGGGTGGTCACAGCTCATCAGGCTGCTGCTGGCCTTGCACACAGGGGGATCCTGGTCAAGGTAACCCCTAAGCGCCCCACTTGATATTGGAAAGCACCCCTTGAACCCTGCGCTGGGAAGTGGGGTCCACTGCCGCCAGCACCCCACTGCAGGCAGCATGGGGGGGCTCATCCAGAAGGAAAAATTATTCCCATGGGCCACCCAGTCTCCCGTGCCCAGCTTGGGCTCGTGCCTGTATTTTTGGCCACAGGAACCTGCCACCATGCCCAGGGTGGGGTGGGTTACCCCTTGCACCCCCTTTTCTCCTCAAGGAGAGGTACCTAACTGCTCCAAGCCTTCTGTGCCTCCCATTTCTGGCATTAGGCGGCAGAGATTGCGAAATACTGCTTCTCCAATGAACCTCAGAGGACAGAGCCTGGCAGAGGAATCCTCTCTGTAATCCCATTTACCTTCCCCTCCCTCCCCACACTGTGTTCAACCAGACCCTGCAGGGAATTACACGCTTCCAGCTGTGGATTTCGTCTTAAATGGTCAAACCGCGTCCATCGTGGACGTGTAACAGATCCGCCGGGTAACAGCCCCTGCCTTGTAGGGGCAGGATGGCTGTTCGTTGGCATCCGAGGACACCGGGGCACTTCTGGCAACTAATACCAGCCACAATATTTTATTTTACCTGGTTTCCATTTTCAAAGAGGCTCAAAATTCCCAGCAGTGGGATTTGGCCTCACTGGCACTCAGATCCAAGTGCTTCAGTGCTTTTTCAGTGGCAAAACAGGGAAATTAGCTGATTTTCCAGCTGTGCTCATCAGAGCTTCAGCCCCAAGCCCCCGGCGTACAATGCAGTGCGGTCAGTCCGGCACAAAGCCGCCCAGCCTGGCCACTGCTAATGGCAGAGCAGGCTTTAACAATGCCAATAAATGGTGAAGGGGTATTGCCTCTGGCTGCTGGACAGGTTGCCACTGTTTTGAAAGATTTACGAGCTGGTTTTTAAGGGCAAGCTTCTTATGCGAGCCAGGATGCTGGCTCTCATGCAACCAGGGTGCCGCACGGCTGTGGATTTTCCCCGTCCTTGAGAGTGCGTGTTTCTCGCAGCCACAACCCAGCTGAGAGCACGTGGATGGGGTACAGGCATTGCTTTGGGATGCTTTTTGGGCTCTGCCGGCCATCATGCCTGTCGCCCGCGGGCATTTCGGTTGTCTCGTCTCCCCACCGCTGTCCCTCCACCCAGCTCCCCTGCACCCGGGAGATAGCAATGCAGAGATGACGGGGTGACTGTATCACCCCGCTGCAGGGGAGACAGGGGCCGCCCGATTAACGCCGCGCCGGTCTGGGATGACGGGATGCTCCTGCCCGGCCAGCGGCTGATCTGCAGCTGCAGAGCCTTGAGGAGGGGCGGCTTGGCTGCATGTCAGGCACCCACACATTTCGCCCGCGCTTACGCGACACATTTATCGGGGTCAGCAGCCCCCGGTCAGGAAGGGAGAAAAAAAAACCACCGCGCCAACAAACCAACCCAAACAAACACGATACCGAACCCCTCGGGGAAGGGGCTGGTGAGCTGCACGCACCAGCACTCTGCAGTTCACCCCTTACTCATGCTCTGCTTGCCCCCAGTGCCCCACTTTTGGGGGTTTCCTCCCCCAGGGGTAGGTACAACCACATAGACTGTTGCTTCAGCAGTTGTTTTTTCTTAAAACCATACACGCATCCCCCAACTCGCAACACCGTGCCCTGCACCCCACTTTTTTTCCTCCTCTCTTGGTCCATACCAAACCCCCATGGCAAGATCAAGCCCTGCAGCCTGGAAGCAGTTGCCCTGAGCTGCTCTATCGCCTCTTGCCTTCCTTCCCATCTCAGGCCCTCGGTGTGCCAAATGCTCGCCCCATCCCAAACTCGATGGCAACAGCCATGTCCTGCTGGGAGGCAGAGGGAAAAGCCTGGACCTTGGGCAGCGCAGGGACGGGAGGGTTTCTAGGCAGGAGGCCAAGAACCAGCGAGAGCAAGCCCTGGCCCTGCACGGGCACAATGGGGAGCCGGCTGCTGAGCTTAGCGCTTGGCCTCTTGCACCATCCGCTGGGTTGCCCAAGGGCCTCGTGTGCATGACGAAAGCCTGCAACCCAGTTTTACCGGAATTTGTGACGTACGAAGCAGCTTGCCTTACCTAGGGAAAGCAATCGCTGCAGCTGTGGGTCTGTATTTGCCTGCACCCCCCTGTCCCAGGGGCCACCGAGACCATGGCGAGGTTATTACACGCCGAGTGAAGGCGTGCTGCCAGAACTCTCATTGCAGCTGCCACCACGTCCTTACACCCGGCTCCCATCCCATTTCGCAGTACTCCAGCCTCCCAGCCGATGCATCCGTCACCTCCATCTGAGGGTCCTCCTTGAGCCCCTCACCTTCCCCTCTTCAGATGGTGCCTCCAGCACAAGTCCACAGTTAGGGCTCTTCCGTACTTGCCAGCAGCCTCTCTGCAGAGCAACAGCTCACATTTACATTGGGATGGGGCTTTATGAGGAGCAGTCACCCCAGGTCCTCCATCCTGCCAAAAAAGCAACGTGCTTCACCCAAAAACAGTAGAAGGACAGCGTCTGAGATCCCTCTGATCTCCACCAGGATCTATATACACTGTTTACTCTGCCAGTAATTTGCAGTGCCATCTGCCCCCCTCAATACTGGATTTACTAACGCAGCCCAGGCTCAGCTCTTCCTCCGTGGGGCTGAGGGTCCATGTGGGATTTTCAGAGTGTTGTTGTGAAGCGGATTATTTCCCCCGCAAACCCCAAGGTGGAACAGACAGCTGAATAACAACACTGCAGGTCTCCTCTCGCTCTCCAGCCAAGGGTGATCCCGCTGCTTTCCCTCCCCGAATCCAGAGGGAGGGAAGCGATGGGTCAGGATGGCCCTAAATCACACAGGAACCTGGAAAAATGACTCCCCCACACTGCCACATGGGGTTAGGGACATGTTCCCCTCGACAAACACATTTTTCCCAGCGAAAGGGGAAGATTTTATTAAGTTAAAAGTTAAAGGGCGCAGCAGAGCAGCAGCAGCTGCCACCTCGGGGGGGTTGGTTCTGGCGGGTGCAGTAGCAGCCTCACAGCTCCTCTTCCCCAGAAAGGAGAGACCCTGTGGCTCTGGGCTCCTGCCAATTTGGGTTCTTGAAGGAGCCAAAGGACAGTCACGGAGAGAGCTTGATCATGCGGACTCTTGCCAAGGTCTCCTCTTTCAAAGTCCCAGGCAAGCACGTCCATGGCAGACTGCCCCGGCGGCTCCCTCCTATGGCTTGCATGTCTTCTCCGCAGGTCCCTGGGGGTGGCACGGAGGGGGAAGCATGGTCCTTGCCGTACATCCCAGGGTGGGCCGCAGAGACATTTGGAAGAGAGGGAATATGTGCTGAAGGTGGCTGTGTGGCCAGGAGCAATGGGGCTGGGGAGGGGGGGGAAACCAGATTCTCTTTTTCAGGTTAGAAAATGCTGGTGATGTAGTAAAAGTTTTCCCGCTCCACTTCCCCG